TACGTCTACGTGTTTGGACAAGTCAACACCTATAATTTTATCCAATGACTTGTAATAAATTACACTCATTATTAATTAAAATTCATTATATTCTAATATATTCACATCAACCAAACCATTCATGTTTCTAATGATTCTTTATTGCCACAAATCAGTTAATCACAATCTAGTCTCAGCGGAACGAACAACAAATTACCCAAATCCTTCCCCTCAGTCATAGAATCCTCCCAGAATCGTATATGCTGGTCACTATTCACTGATCTTACGAAATTCTATGACAGGCATTGTTGTATGAAACTCCAAGATATCATTTACAAGAAAAGCTTATTATTCCAACGTATATATAATTATCATACACACCTCTATATCTCATCATTCAACTTCAGAATGCAACTAATTTACACCATTATACCACTTTTATTCCATATTTATACAATGTTGCTCTCAAACGCGCTTAATTACTATTTGTATAACCTACAGGAATATTTTATTCTATCAAAGGTCCCAAATTTGGAATGTCAACCCTATCCTAGTTATTATTTTACTGTAGTCAATTTATCATAATACTACATCACCTCTAAAGTTTCTAAATATAATGTCAGAAACATACCCTAAAAGATTGATCAAAATACCAATGCATAGACGTCATATGATCACACCGGTACACGTGACCTGTTCCTCCAACAGGTTTTATTCTACCCCTCCTGGTAACGTGAATTTTCTACACTCAGTTGGTCAATGAATATCCACGCACCATTTATTCTTCTCTTTCCTAATGTGAGATTGGGCACGCCCTTTCTCCATCAGACAGAAGCTTCAAACGACCTCAAATATATTTACTTTCCTTACAGAAAGGCTATTTACTTGCAGGATTTCTTATTATTCTCACTCACACAGATGAGCAGCCACTTGTGCCCAAATGAATCAGACAGTTGAATGACTCACAGCCGCCCAAGCAAACCACTCACCCACGCAAGATGAGCAGACCTACTCTATTTAACACTTTCTCTATATTTTGAAGCCCTTGTGACTATTTAACCCATTCACCTACTCAGGATGACCGGTGTTACTCCAATTTATGGTGTCACCTACGCCGGATGACCTAACTTTTTTACCTGATCGACCCTACCTAACTTTGGCATCACCACAACACAGGATGATGCCCCACCTACCCGAGCAGACCTCCAACAATGAATTCCTCATTAGAGCGGTAACCGTAGGTCCCAAATTTAGCCAGCCACCTGCCCGTTCAGCCCTCTGGAGCGCTAATTTTAGCTCTCCAAAGAGGTATCCACAGGATTTCTATTTATTTATCCCCCTAGGTGTTACACTTCCTCGACACACCTGGACTTCTACTACGCTTTCCTAAGCGACCTGTAAATTCTGCCCTATTTTTTCTGTTACACTTCCTCGACACAGAAAAATAAGCAGTATTACACAGGATTTCTGCCTACCTAAGCAGCCTATACACGATATACTTCCGCTACACGTTTATAGCGGTATTCGCAGGACTTAACATGTTATTGTCTGATCGCTCAACCAGATGGACAACCGCCCGTGCCGAAATGACCCAGACAAAGCGATCAGCAGGATGAATCAAATGAATCAAATGAATCAAATGAATCAAATGAATCAAATCAATTGAACAGACGGTTCAGACAAACAACAGAGTGACATCGACATGTATTCTTAAATTCAAAAGCTCCTAGTCTCTAATGTTCTGGTTCTTAAATTTGGAGAGACCTTACTTGGTATTTCTGCTGCTGATGCCGTGCCCCGGATCGGACCACACAAACGTTTATACTATATAAGTAAGAACTTGGCTTACCTTTTAAAAGCGGCCGCTTTTGTTTGTATGGTCCGTCCAAGCCGTTTCATAACTGCAGATGTACACCGTCTCTGGACCCTTTTTTTCAACTCCTGGCAAGCTCGCCAAATATGTCGTAGAAATATTTGACTAAAAAAGTAGTCAACTTAAAAATATTTCTCAAGAGACTGCAACTTGTGAATTTAGAAATTAGACTTGTATTATTTGCATAACAAAGCCGAGCCTGCTCCATGGAGCAACTGTCTCTCTTTGGCTTAGAGATCTCTTATATACACACACAAATGCACAGTCATGTTTACATAGCATACAATTACTCCCCTTAGGGCAAATGATTAACTTATTTTAGTGCCACTCTACCCTTATCTTTCAACGTCCAGATGTCACATGTGGTTTACTCCAAAAGGCCATGGGCGCTTTTCCATAGGAAGCCTCTTCCCTAATCTCATTACATTGGTAGCAGACCCTTTCCCTAATCTCATTACACATACATACATTAATTTATGTTTACACACTGTATTGGCTATATTCCTTATTTAAACATACATCTGGATTATAGAATGTCAATCATGTTTACTATATTTTACTTTTGACATTTCCCAACATTTTGCCTTAATGATACATAAAATATTCCTATACCGCACCTTTGAATTTAAGATGGGTTAAATGGAATAGTAACTGAACTGGACAATGACTGTGGGCCAGCCTCTCACATGTAGGCAAATATAAAATGTACTTGTGCCAAATTAAGTATTTCTTGCAAATGTTAATTTTGTCTCGGGTACAGGAGTGGAGAAATGTTTAATCAAATCAAATCACATTTTATTTGTCACATGCGCCGAATACAACAGGTGTAGACCTTACCGTGAAATGCTTACTTACAAGCCCTTAACCAACAATGCAGTTTTAAGAAAATAGAGTTAAGAAAATATTTACTAAATAAACTGAAGTAAAACAATAAAAATAAAAATAGTAACGCAATGAAATAACAATAACGAGGCTATATAGTATGAAAATGTAGGCACTCACTAACTGTAAGTCACTCTGGATAAGAGCGTCTGCTAAATGACTAAAATGTAAATGTATATACAGGGGGTACTGGTACCGAGTCAATGTGCGGGGGTATAGGTTAGTCAAGGTAATTTAGGTAATTTGTACACGTAGGTAGGGGTAAAGTGACTATGCATAGATAATAAACAGCGAGTAGCAGCAGTGTAAAAACAAAGGGGGGGGGGGGGGGTCAATGCAAATAGTCTGGGTGGCCATTTGATTAATTGTTCAGCAGTCTTATGGCTTGGGGGTAAAAGCTGTTAAGGAGCCTTTTGGACCTAGACTTGGCGCTCCGGTACCGCTTGCCATGCGGTAGCAGAGAGAACAGTCTATGACTTTTGTGACTGGAGTCTTTGATAATTTTTTGGGCCTTCCTCTGACACCGCCTAGTATAGAGGTCCTGGATGGCAGGAAGCTTAGCCCCAGTGATATACTGGGCCATACACACTACCCTCTGTAGCGCCTTACGGTCGGATGCCGAGCAGTTGACATACCAGGCGGTGATGCAACCGGTCAGGATGCTCTCGATGGTGCAGCTGTAGAAACTTTTGAGGATCTGGGGACCCAGGCCACATTTTTTCAGTCTCCTGAAGGGGAGGGGAAGTTAGAGGGGAAGATACATCACATAACATTGTGCATCCAAGACTAACTGAAATCTTATCAGAAACACGTTTTCACAGCCTTCATTTCCATAAAAGCAATTCAACTGATGTCCTTTTGCATGGGAATGTTCATTACCCTGTGTTAAGATTTTTTCCCCTGTCCCTAAATGTCCAGCGAAGCCAAGTTGAGTAACAAGTAGCCTCCCAAATGTCTGAAATTATAAGCAGAAACATATCTATGAAATCCTTCACCCCTATGAAAAAATATTTCGACATATTAGGACATTTTCGATTAGAGTCTGATGTAGCATGTATGTGCTAATGTACACCATGCAACAGGCCACAATACACTCCACATCTCCATAATAGCCATAGGTCTTACGTGAACTAACACCCCCACATAAAGTCTCCTACACATATCATCATTTAGACCTGAGCTTTAGCCATGGGTCTTGACACTGTTCATGCCAGAAGACGTTGACCTTGTAATTTGTGAACGTACGCCTGTACAGTATATCATTCAGAGAGCCCTGTAAAAGACGCGCCATAAACTTTCACAATGTGAAGTCCATCACCCGGGCGGTTTTACACACCCTCTCTGTAAATCCCCTCCTATTAAGCATGTCCTCCCTCCCTGATGAGTTCCTCAATATTGTAATGAGCCCTTCTAGAATCGGGAGTCAATTCATTTGAACTCAGTCAATTCACATAATGAATCAGATTCAATTTGTTCATAGGGCGAATAAAAACAAGCCTTTCTGAAATTTCCAATTTATGGATTTAATTTTAATTGAGTTGAGATAGAGTTGACCTCAATCCTGCTCTTGAGCACGCTTGATGGTTTTACCGGCGCCATTGTTTTCATTGACAAGATCAAACCGTTGGTGAAGAGCCATCTTGTTTTAGTCGAGACGGTCTTGAATAAATCTAGGTGGATCCCTTTATTCCCCCTTATCCTCCTATAGTATGTAATCCTAAAGTTTGCACCGTGAAATGTAGTGGTCTACACATTGAGCCGCTTTATAGGATAAGGTGTCTAGCAGTCTATAGCTTGGCTTACAGTTACCACATCATACAGGGATAAGTCGAGGATATGTATTTATTTTGTTAAAAGCAGAAGGGTAAAGGTAATCCTAAAAGCCAGACTGTAGGCTACATTTTCAGTCTGTTGGACTGTTAACTGTTGGAATACTGGAACTTGCAATTGCATAAACACTCTGCCTTTTTCATGGATTGTAAAAAGGTAGTTTTGTGATATATCAGTCGATTAAAGTACCACTCATTATTCCAATTCACTTTATTGCTCAAACAGTTGTGTGTACTGTTTTTATTGTAGGCTTTTGGGGTAATACCTTTGAGAGGAACAGAATCACCTAGATTTCAGCCAAAAGTGAAGCGCCTCTGCCTGAAGTGACCGCATAATCTATATTTAGTTGTCAAGACACGGTAGGTTAGGAAATTGCTGTGTTTGCAAGAGTACAACAGTTCAATTGTTTCAGCTCAAGTATCTTGTCTTTCCACAGGGACAGCAGCTAATGGATCTGGAGCACAAGTTAACCATTGCCAAAGAAGAGTTGGAAAAGGCCGCACTGGACAAGGTGGATATCATTAAACTTTTACTTCATCGTAATCCATAACATTTTAGTCTTTCACTTTGATATTTTCTCGTTTCATGTTTGTATTGTGTTTCTCCTCTTCATTTCTTCTCGGGGATAATGTTCTCGGTCTGACCTATTGAAAAACTATTTTGAGAGGTGCTTTTTACTCCTAAGTTACTAAATGAATAATTGGATGGTGTGAGAGTACGCTTATGCCGTACAGTTTTCTCGGCTCTATTTATATTTATGGATGCTTCGGAGAAGGAGCTTCATTGTGCTATTCTACAGCAGGTGTAGGGATGAATGCATAATTGTGGAATGGCTGGTGACCAAAATGCTCCTGAACAGCTTCTACCCCCAAGTCATAAGACTGCTGAACAGTTAATCGAATGGCTACCCAGACTATTTATATTGACCCCCTTTATTATGTATTTTTTTGTCTTTATTTTTTGCACTGACTCTTTTGCACTGGCTCTATGCACACTCACTAGACTCTACTCACACACTCACACATACTACACTGACACTGACACTCCAAAACACACACACTACATACGCTCACACACACTACATACGCTCACACACACATGCATATTGAAGCCAGGCACTCACACATAGACACACTTTCACACTCTTCACATATGCTGCTGCTACTCTGTTTATTATCTATCCTGTTTGCCTAGTCACTTTTACCCCTACCTACATGTACATACTGTATTACCTCAATTACCTCAACTACCTCGTACCCCTGCACATTGACTCTGTACTGATACTCCTTGTATATAGCCTCGTTATTATTTTATTTTGTTACTATTTCCTTTTTTATTTAGCAAATATATTTCTGACTTTTTAACTGCATTTCTGGGAATGGGCTCATAAGTAAGCATTTCACTGTAAAGTCTACACCTGTTGTATTCGGCGCATGTGACCAATAACATTTGATTTGATAACGGTTACATTTTATTAGTGGGTGGATATACAATAATTGGTGTGTAATTGAGGGAATTGTCAGATGAATGTAGAAAGGGAAGCCCCAGTGATTGTTATTTACTGTTACATGGATGGATGGTCAAATACTCATATCTGTTTGCTTCTGTTGCTTGGAACAGGAGTCTCAGTTGAAGGCACTGAAGGACACAGTGCACATCTGCTTCTCTGCTGTTCTGCACAACCAGCCCACCAGCAGCCACAGGTTCCCTGCCACCCCCACCCACTTGTTCAGATATTCCTCACTCGTCAACAGCTCCATAGTCACCTTTCAGCAGCCACATGCCAAGGTAATGCACATTCTGACCCCATGCAACTCCCGCCAGTTAAGAGGAACAGCAATGGGCATAAACATTGCAGCAGATTATCAATTTAGATTTTCGGGGTGACAACCACAGAGCCAAGTACCGATTTCTCAATTGAATGCCCCCAGTGTCACTCCCTGGAGAGGAGTTGTTCCGAACATAATTACTACTAAAGACAATAGTCGGGCAAATAGGATTGCAGAAATTGTTCAAAATAATAACATGTCCAAATACAGCAGGTTTTTGTGTAATTTATGTTACTCTTCACACTCTATTGCCAGGAAAATAAGACCCAATTATTTTAAATGTAAGGGTGTGCTATCGGCACTTGTTTTCAATAAAAAGTATAATTAAATGTGACACATTCTTTGTTGAATGTCTTTCAAAGTCATCTTCATAGAGCGCTTAATAAAAGGCCAAGGACTCAATCCCCTGAGAGCAAACCAAGGGTGACAGTGGTAAGGGAAAAGTTATCTAGTGAAAACAGGATTATAACTATAGAGGACTCAATGACAGTGCTTCTAACCTGGGGAACCTCTATGTGCAGGTTTTCATTCAAAACGGTAACTATGATAGAGTGCACAGGGAAACACCAACAGGCCACAATAACTCAAAGTTGGGTATGTTGTGAGTGATTTATAGATAAGTAAGCATTTATTTTGAGGGGCGCTATTAGCAACTTGCTTACAGGATTGACAGCTGATTTGTTATACTGACACCTGGCTGTCACTCTGATTCGTTGGGTAAGTACTGTCACAAGATATACAGTGAGGGAAAAAAGTATTTGATCCCCTGCTTATTTTGTACGTTTGCCCACTGAATGATCAGTCTATAATTTTAATGGTAGGTTTATTTGAACAGTGAGAGACAGAATAATAACAATAAAATCCAGAAAAATGCATGTCAAAAATGTTATAAATTGATTAGCATTTTAATGAGGGAAATAAGTATTTGACCCCCTTTCAATCAGAAAGATTTCTGGCTCCCAGGTGTCTTTTATACAGGTAACGAGCTGAGATTAGGAGCACACTCTTAAAGGGAGTGCTCCTAATCTCAGCTTGTTACCTGTATAAAAGACACCTGTCCACAGAAGCAATCAATCAATCCGATTCCAAACTCTCCACCATGACCAAGACTGTGCTCTAAAGAGCACTCCAAGGATATCAGGGACAAGATTGTAGACCTACAAGGCTGGAATGGGCTACAAGACCATCGCCAAGCAGCTTGGTGAGAAGGTGACAACAGTTGGTGTGATTATTCGCAAATGGAAGAAACACAAAATAACTGTCAATCTCCCTCGGCCTGGGGCTCCATGCAAGATCTCACCTCGTGGAGTTGCAATGATCATGAGAACGGTGAGGAATCAGCCCAGAACTACACGGGAGGATCTTGTCAATGATCTCAAGGCAGCTGGGACCATAGTCACCAAGAAAACAATTGGTAGCACACTACGCCGTGAAGGACTGAAATCCTGCAGCGCCCGCAAGGTCCCCCTGCTCAAGAAAGCACATACACAGGCCCGTCTGAAGTTTGCCAATGAACATCTGAATGATTCAGAGGAGAACTGGGTGAAAGTGTTGTGGTCAGATGAGACCAAAATGGAGCTCTTTGGCATCAACTCAACTTGCCGTGTTTGGAGGAGGAGGAATGCTGCCTATGACCCCAAGAACACCATCCCCACCGTCAAACATGGAGGTGGAAACATTATGCTTTGGAGGTGTTTTTCTGCTAAGGGGACAGGACAACTTCACCGCATCAAAGGGACGATGGACAGGGCCATGCACCATCAAATCTTGGATGAGAACCTCCTTCCCTCAGCCAGGGCATTGAAAATGGGTCATGGATGGGTATTCCAGCATGACAATGACCCAAAACACACGGCCAAGGCAACAAAGGAGTGGCTCAAGAAGAAGCACATTAAGGTCCTGGAGTGGCCTAGCCAGTCTCCAGACCTTATTCCCATAGAAAATCTGTGGAGGGAGCTGAAGGTTTGAGTTGCCAAACGTCAGGCTCGTAACCTTAATGACTTGGAGAAGATCTGCAAAGAGGAGTGGGACAAAATCCCTCCTGAGATGTGTGCAAACCTGGTGGCCAACTACAAGAAACGTCTGACCTCTGTGATTGCCAACAAGGGTTTTGCCACCAAGTACTAAGTCATGTTTTGCAGAGGGGTCAAATACTTATTTCCCTCATTAAAATGCAAATCAATTAATAACATTTTTGACATGCGTTTTTCTGGATTTTGTTGTTGTTATTCTGTCTCTCACTGTTCAAATAAATCTACCATTAAAATTATAGACTGATCATGTCTTTGTCAGTGGGCAAACCTACAAAATCAGCAGGGGATCAAATACTTTTTTCCCTCACTGTAGGCCTAACATCCTCCACCCACCCAAAAATGGATGATAAGAAAAATAAATATGTATTGTACTGGAGCAGGTTTCTAGATCATTAGTATCTTATCATTAGTAGCTTTCCACAGTAAATACAAAAGTTATTTACCTTATAAAGAGTACAAATGAAGGTTTGTGTCTTACTTACTCTGCCCAAGGATATGTAGCAAAGTTTGTCAGCAGCGTTGCAAAGAGGATGAACCTTTTGAGGGCATTGACTTTTTCAGATGAAACCGAAATTGAGATAAGTTCTTCCATCACATTCATCTGTTCTGAACTACACCCCATTCACTTTATTTATACGCTGTGCAAAGTCATGTTGGACCTAATCACAGTTTATATCAGTCAACTACTGCGGTCATATCAAAATCAGAATATCGAAGTCAATCACAGCTCTGTTGCAGTTTCTTATCGGCCCTGATCCTAGTGAGCAATCCTGTTTCTCAGAGGCTTTTCTCCCTGATGCAGTCAGAAGTCATTCTGCTTCTCTGTGTGTTGGGTGTCGAGCTAAGAGCCTTGACGTTAGCTATGTGCCACCCAGAGGACATTACAGCTCTTTCTCAGAACGCTCCAATACCCCTCCACACGGAAGCACCACATAAAGCAAGTAATGTAATGGCCACTTTATTTCCAAAGATATAAACCATAGTCAATGTTCACAACGGCAGACGATGACTCCATTACAGCCGATGTGAGTGAAATGTGCTGGGCCTCATCTCATGTTCCAAGCCAAATGAACAAGGGGTTGCAGGGGTTGAGTGTGGGGGGTGAAGGAGGGTAGTGTGTCTGTCAAAAGGAAAGACGACGGAGGGAAAACATACTTGTTCAAATATAGGGATCTGCTTATGCAAATCAAATCTGTACTTCTCACTTGATTAGCATACAAATAGCTCCACTCCATCCTGAGCAGTCACTACGGCCATCCGATGCTGTATCCACGGATACTGTCTGCGGCATGAATCAAAGAGGGTTCTCCTCACTGTAAAGATTACTAGTTCTCCCCATCTGTCGTCGCTGTCTGTTCAATGTGAAGGGGCCCACATCTAATATAAATCACTGGCAAAGATGGCCAAAAATGGGGACCACTGACAAACGTAACACCACCCCACATTTCGCTTGTTCATTTCCATGCGGTATTTCCTCCTTTTGCGTGAGGAGAACTGGAATGGACTCAATATGCTAAGGCAGGCTGGGCCTCTTACAAATGTAATCGAATGTATCCCATCAGCCCTTTCATGGGCCAGTTTCCATTGAATATTTGGTTATCTATTAGCTATTTAGTAGAAATGAATAGCTGCTAAACACATTCTGTTGGACATGCTGATATTTGTTAGTATGCCTGACTAGCCCGACAAGGGCCATTATTGTCTGTGATCAAAAGGCAATTATTTAGCACAGAAAGCAATATAATATTACATCATTGAAATTAGAAAAAAAAAAGCTTTAAAAGCCTACCATTATTTCCTCTACAGCTTTACAAAATATAACGCTTATGTGTGTATCAGCTACCCTCTCAGCATCATGTTCGGTATTTGAGTTCCTAAACATAATGGGCCTTAATCTCCACTAGACAACCATTACTAGATAAGACTCCAGTCTTTGGCTGCAGACACAATCCCCTGCCGGTGAAAGATTCATTAGTGAGAGGTTGCCGGGATCAGCAAGATCAGGGTGGAAGTCTCATCATATTTAACAGGCCGAGGAAGGAAGCCAAGTCTTGTGGTGGTGATAGCATGCCATTTTCATCCAAGTAATGGGAGATGATGTGTGGAATGTGGATTCTGTGGAATGCTTGGGGCAGTAATTTACTGCCCGAGGAAAAATCTGGATCTTTATTTGCTGGCTCTCTCTCTGCACTTCCCTTTTGACTTGTTGATGGTTTCTCTAGCTGAAATCAGTTGCGGGGGTAAACAGTGAGTTTGTTTTTGACATTTATTTACAGTGTAGAGAAGTATTGCTATGGTCAGAACGCATTGGATCTCTTAAAATATGCAACATTCATTTGAATGAGTTTAAATCTCTCTTTTAACGAAGTCCATGAGATGGACAGGAATAATTAATGCGGATTGAAAGTGCAACACATGCCATGAAACTGCGGAGTGAAGTATTCAGAAAACTATTTTAAATGTTTTGGTTGATTTTGGTAAGATCTCTGCAATTTACATATTTCTGTCTATTTGAATTTGTTCATATTTCTGGTAAGATCTCTGCGCTGTGAGAGCTGTTAAGAGAACAGAAAATGAACTCTCCAGGCCAGCCATCCATGCATGACTTTCTAAAGACATGTCCCTTGAGTGCAGGACCGTTGGGAGCAGAAAACCATTTCAGCAGGCACTCATGCCCCATCACTGTTCCATTGAATTGTCCTGGCCCTGATGGATACTGCCAAAAAGCACTGAAATAATACATGATACGTCCATTGAAATAGGTCACTTCAAGAGGCAAATTCAAAATTACTTTTTATGAAGTGAACACATTTCTAATAAAAAAATCTGTATTTTTCTCTATGGAAAGTAGCCGTGGTAGAAGCAAAAATAAAATCCTCAGGGCTGTCCAGTTCAATGAAAAACAAACCGCTTTAAATGCACCTCAGCACCAAATCTCTTGTCATGGTCTATTTCAACAGAGCTGCACTGTGTGTCATGGCTTATACCAACCTTACCCATACATGTCATGTTCCACCTTCCATTATTTAGAATTTCTAAACAACTCCTTTTTCTCTCCCGCACTTCTTTCTCGCAGGATATCCCGAAAGTTCAGAGAATCATCACAGCCAGTAAATCGCCTGCGAACATTGGGGTAATGAGGAGAAAAAGTAGTCCAGGAGTCAAGGACTGCCAGATGGAAAAGGTGAGCCTTTGGACAAATTAAATGGTAATAGCCTATTTGTGACCCTCAGGCCCCAATCCAGTAGGTTCATCTGTTCATTAAGTTCCTTTTAATCCTTCAGTCATTATGGATCACTGGCAACTTTTACCCCAAAACGTCTTTCTGTTACACCGGCACTGCGGCTAATTTCAGATCACAGGATCTGGGTCAATCAACGACTAATCTGTGAGGCTTGGGGCAGGCTTTCAATGTCATTGGAGAAACTGGAGAAAAATCATGTGTTGTAATGGTTTGTATATTCAAGAAATCAGAAATACACAGCCGGCCACTTGCACGTTTCGCTGAAGATACAAACAAACTCAAGCCACTTTTATTAGACAAATGCGATCTCATGCTCTGCATTGTATGTATGGTTATGATCCTTGGATGAGGAAGCCGAATATGACTGCCCAACTCTATTGGATAGTGCGGCAGGGAAGGGACAGTTCCAGGGAGGAAGGTTCTTCTTGACACGTGGTTATCAATAACCATGACAGAAATTAGGTGGGGGGACGCTGGGGAGAGACAGTGCATGGTCCAGCGGATCCTTCCCCGAGAGAAAATGACCCTCTATGGAGAAACGTGTTGAAAAGATATTCCCGTAATGAATCCGTGCCAAAAACAATGTTTGCTCCTGTCGTGTTATTGATATCATTTTGGCGGGGCCATAAATGGGGAAATCCTGCAGCAAAGAGACCTGTCCCCCACAAACACCGTCAAGTTCTACTTGTCTTCCACTGCGTGATTGGATGAGATGGAGAGAGGGAGAGAGATTAGAAATGAGTTATGAGTTATGAGTTTATAACAACTGTTATAATGCGCTATAAGTGTACGTCAAGGCATGATACATGCATTTATAAGGCATCGTGTGTGTGTGCGCGCCGTGTGCCTCATAGAAAGTGTTACCATGTGTTCTCTTACAATGTGCACATTTAGGAATTGATTTACTGCAATCCTTAAATCTCCTTTTTATAGGCAGCTTCACCAACCACCCTTAGCACTTTTAATAGTCCTGTATCATACACAATTAATGAGCTTGGGGATTGCAAAATGGTGTTATGAAACAACCATAATCTCTTTTTAGGATCCTTCTAGCCAGTCAAAGTTTAAGAACATGCATCCCAACATAGTTTTACAGCAAAAGATGCCTAGAGCAATGAACATTTTTGCACATCATGTTTATCCAAACAGACAATTAATTCACCGCGTTCTGTGATGTTTTCAGTGAAGCGATGAGTGTTTTCCAGTATTGCTGCAGAGTGCTCAAAGCGCTGCACACAGGAAACGTTGTAAGATGTATTTGTACTCACCTAATCAGCTTCAGTGGACGGTTGTTTTGGTTGGCATAGTCGGTCAGGCTAGTGTTAGAGAAATATCAGCTATTTGAGAATCGAAAAAGACTAGTAGACTAGAATAATAATAACAGGCTTCAGCCAAAACATGCTCTGTAGGTGTTATGTTATTAGGTCTTATTTAAGGTTATTTACTGTGAAGAAATAGGCATATGCAGTATAGTTCCTAGAGGTGTATATATAGGTGAAATGCAATGTCACATAACCTTCTATCCCCTTGTGTCTTTTCTGAGGATTTCATTTGTGACCGACCACCTGGATTCGGTCCTATGTAGCAAAATTTGAAATTGTGTTTTTTACATTGGATAAATGTAGACTCAGAGCTAGAAAATTGTATATCATACACTACAGTTGAGGAAAAATGGGAAAGTAAATTTGCTTTGAAAGTTAAGAAACTTGTAACCCCACTTTTGAGAAAATGGCCCTTGAATGTTTTGGTACACCTACTGGAGAGCTCTTCTTTGTCTACACCCATTCAGCATCATCCACACCCTCTTAAGCCTTAGCCCCACCCATCTCTTTAAGGATTCACATGTGAGGTCATGTGCTAAACAACCAAAGATTTCAAGACTAAAGGCTGGTTATACTATGTCTATCGACATGCCTGCTGGTCCAAAATAGAATAACTGGTGTATTTTAACACCATCCTTTAAAAAATATTTTAGGATATGTCAATCTAGCAAACCAGGCAACTAAAAGCAACTTTCTAAACATTGTTTTGGTTCGTTTGTAGCTTGCTAGCTAGCTAGCTAGCTAACGTTAAGTTAGCTGGCTAGCCAGTTCAAATAATGACCATATCATAGCTGATAAGGTCTTAACTTGAGCACATTTTTATTCATTATTACAAGATATAAATTATTTACAAGTTAATGGCGAGCTAATTACAGAAAGTAACTAAATAAAAGCAGGGCATTCTAATGGATAATTTTTTAACTTGGACACTGTCTTGTTGGGCTAACGTCATATCCTAATTTGACTTTGGTGCAGGTCACGTTGTTCTTACCGTCTCCGGTAAACACACTATATCAAATAAAATCTACGTTTATTTGTCACATGCACAGGATACAGAAGGTGTAAACGGTACAGTGAAATGGTTACTTGCATAGTGGAGTCTTTTGTTTAGACATGTAGCTAGCTACCTAGCTAGCTAAACAATGAACCATAATCCCAACTCATAACGTTACTACCATGCATGAATCTGCAGGTAACTACATTTAACCAACTAGGTTCAATGTTAGCTAGCTAGCTAACATTAGGCTATAACTAGCAATGCAAATTGCTTTCTGAGATACTAATAATATTGCTACACAGATCATACACATAACGTTAGCTAGCGAGCCAGCCAGCTAATGTTAGCTAGCTAGCTAACAGTACGCTTTAACTTGCAATGAAAACGACTTTCTGACAAAATTAGAAACATATAATATCTGAAAATATAGCTAGCTAGACTCTCTTACCCGTAAACATGGATGAACGCTTCTCCCTCTCTGTCACGGATGCCATGGTTGCCCTTAGTTTGAAGATGTAATCCGGATGTAATCAAACTCTGCTTCCACTGGGCATTCCACTGATTTCAAAACTTGGTCAACTTCTTCATTGCAGTTCTTCGTGATGTCTTTCAAAAAAGCAGTGTTAGAAAGGATTACCTACACATATTGAGCAGCTCATGTTATAGAAAGAAGCATGCTACATGGCAGACCAATCCGAACTCATCTCTTGGCATGTCCAGCCCATCCATTATCTCAGCCAATCATGGCTAGCAGAAAGGTTGCTGTCTTTTTCCGTGGCTAAACCAACTAGGCTCGTAATTTAACAATTTCATATTTACAGATGGCATACAAGTTTGTTATTATGGCACATGAAAGTTCACATGTTCCAGAAGGCATTTCTGCCCAAAAACGCATGTTGATAAAAAAAGAAATGTTTACGTTCAAATGCCTCTCCTTTGAAGTAGTGACGTGTGCGACATATGCCTAGTTTCCGGACACGAGTCACATTTATGGGCTAAATGCAGTGCTGGCTCTAGCCACTAAGCTAAGGAAAGGAGTGAAGGAAAAGCAGCCAACAAGTGCTCAGCATATGTGGGAACTCCTTCAAGACTGTTGGAAAAGCATTCCAGGTGAAGCTGGTTGAGAGAATGCCAAGAGTGTGCAAAGCTGTCATCAAGGCAAAGGGTGGCTACTTTGAAGAATATAAAATATATTTGGATTTGTTTAACACTTTTTTGGTTACTACATGATTCCATATGTGTTATTTAATTGTTTTGATGTCTTCACTATTATTCTAAAATGTAGAAAATAGTAAAAATAAAGAAAAACCATTGAATGAGTAGGTGTGTCCAAACTTTTGACTGGTACTGTATATATATTTTTATTTATTATTTTCTCCTAACCTTACCACCCCTCCCCTAATTGGAGTAAACTAATGGACAACAACACTTAGGCTTCTACTTCCAGCTTATACATACTATATACATTTTTACGGACACAATGTATTTTACAATAGTTATATTTTGTTTGTTTTTAATCCCATCCTTCAGTTACCCTCAACCCCTCCCATCTACAGTATCTCTGAAGACCATCCAGTTTGATTTCTATTTGCCATATATTTTTAACTGTGCTGTTTCACAAAAGTTCTGAACCTATATACATTTTACGGACAAAAGTTATCCATCCGTAGGATATAGTGTATTTGTCATTTTAGGGAACTATCCTGTTAACAAATGTGTGATGAACATGAATTAATATATTTGATGATATGATTAGAAAGAAGGAAGGGTATTCTCTTTATTTAATCATTAAATGTCTGTACCTTTCTATTGAAATTGAAATAATTTTTACATTCTGAACCCAGATTGACATTTCAGAGCCATAAGGCTGTATCTGCAAATGCACCCCCCTAAAAAAACGGAATTACAAATGTCTTAAGATTTTGATACTCTGCACTTTAGGTGCCTTTAAGGTGAGGACCTTAATGTGTTAGGAAATAAGAATTCACTTGAAAACAGTTTTGAGATCTGGGATGTGAAAACTTTGATGCTCAATATCTCAGAACTATGCTTTGGGCAGATAGAACCTTATAGTCCTAAGCAATGTTCCCTCTAAGCTGCGCGCGTGCGCGGATGTGCAGCTCCTCGGGACTGCCGCGCAGAAGAAATATCAGCCCGCGCAGAGAAGCACAAGATTAAAGTTCACTATTCAACATTTACCTTTACTGTGGGAATTGTGATCGAATCATTGCAATATTAGCCACTTTCAATGCAACATACCGAAACAAAACGAACTATGCAAGACTTAGAATGCAAAACTAACTATGCATGAGATTTTATTGTAGGCAGAGCACATCGGATTAGGATTATATTGCATTGACAGGCACAACTCAGGCCCATACTCTGCACAGACCGGTGCACCATAACCAATCAGAGTTGCAGTAGTCCTATATGCAAATAGACCACTGCCATATATGGATTTGTTCCATTCACTTTGAACTGGACTGTTTTACAGCATGAGCGGTCGCGATTATTATGCGCTTGTTTTGAGATCAAAGCGAGAGCTGCATGTAGCCACGTGTGCACATTTGTTCATATTCTTTGCTAGTTAGTGAGTTATTAGCCCTGTTATAGCTAGTAGT